TCGTGCGTTCCGTGCTTTATTCATTGTTCGCTTGCCAAAGCTCACCCTCGCGTGCAACGAACTTTGAGACATTTCATTTTACCGTGCACTTTTCATTTTTCATTATTTCTCCTTGGAATTGAAACAATTTTTCCCGAATTTCTTTTAGTATCTCTGACCACATTGGCTTCCCTCCATTCTGCGTTCCAAGATTTTTATTATAATTTTTATGTTTTTCGTAAGCTGCCTGTTGAACGAATTATTATTGTTACAAGAAATTATCGTCAAGTGTTTCGTGTAGTTTTGGAAATATACATGTCGACGAGAAGCGTTCACTCTTCGTATGTTTCTTAGCCACGTGAAAGCTTCCGCGATGATATCGATAGTACTTTGTTCTTATCAATAGTTTTCCGTTTTTGAGTGTAAAGTTCTATTGATACGACGCAAATCAATTTCGTGCGATTCCAGACCCTTTTTGCGCTGGGAAATTTCGGGTGCATCCGAGTAGACGCGGAACAAAATGTTTCGTGTGTATCGCGATGTCTTTTTGAAAAGGATTTTAGGAAATTTAATGGTGAATGTATTGCAGTCGACGTGAATTTACCCTTAAGAATACTAAATGCACGCGTTGCGCGCACGCACGTTTGGTTGCCTACTTGCAAGCGCATCGCGATGCCATCTACAATAGAAATAACAAATCACTCACAGGCGCAAAACTTTCCATGTCAATCAAAACTTTTTGTCTTATCATAAGTTTGATATTGACAATTTCTTTGCTCATAGACACGGTTTATCGTGTTTGCGTTCATACGAAGGAGATCAAACATTTCTAAAGTTATTACCAGTCGTTTTTTTTCATTACGCAGCCTTTTCATACCCGTAGTTAAATTAATATTTATGATTTCGTTCCCGTCACCTTGACAATTATTCGGTTATTCGTTCCTACCTCGATTGCATACGATTTAAACGAAAAGAATTGTCGATATAATTCTTAGAAACATGCAAACTGCAAAAATCTTTTTTACGTTGTCTAAAATTGAGAAATACAAAAGAAAGATCATTGAGTTTAATGTTGCACGCGTAATCACGTTACCGTACTTACAGTCAAGTGCAAGAGATTTCTATTACTCTTACGAAATAAAATATTACGCAAACACGTGATTAGATAAAGACCAGGTTTTTAATAGAAGAATATACTCGCGTGATTAGATAAAGACGAGGTTTTTAATATAAAAATATATTCGAAGTTCCATCAGTCCTTTCACATCTTCTGGACGTATTCAACAATTTCCAAGTAACAAAATATTCCTACTAGGGTTAGTATTATTTTAACAATACAGTTTTTTTTATTATATTTTATTATATTGCATTCGTTAAATATATCTTTCTTTACGTTTTATGTTTTCGCCATACTGTTATTTAAACAAGTAAATCCTGGTCGCTTCGGTTCTTTGCTTTGAAAGCTAAGGACAGGCACACGACCGAAATAATAAAAATATTTTTTTAAAAGCAGACGTACGACAGCAAAAGATTAACAATGGCTACTTTGGACGTGGCTGGACTGAATATCGTGAAAAAGGAACTGCATGTACCTTCACTCAATGAAGTAAAAGATGGTAACTTCTTCCTCGTGTAACTTTAAACTATAATATAAATCTAAAAATGACAGAATTGAACAGCATGGCATACATTTTTTCTTCTCAGTGTTGAAAGAAGGCTTAGCTAAAAATTTCTCAGAGTTCTGTGTTGAAGTTGTCGACTGTCCAGACTTAACGCAAAAACCTTTTACGCTTGCTGCACCAGGTAATACTTTCAAAATAAAATATCTTCTCAAATGTTTTTATATTATTTTTTATCCTTTGTTACATAATATCTTCAGGATTGGGAGGTAATCCAACGGTATTGGAAATCGGTGGTCCACCTTTTCTTCTTCCTCTTGTACAAAGAAATAAATTGTACGATATCCAACAGCTCTTGAAGCATTTAAAATGTTGCAACAACCCTTTTGTAATTGGAGCAGGAGCTGGACCATGGCCACACATAAATTCCAATTGTGAGGTATGCTCGATAACTTAGATGGTTTGCTTATTTAGTTTTAATAGTTACCAAAAAACAATACTTTTAGCTTATGATGAATATGACTATTTCAACATCCGAAGTAAAAAATGAAAGTCGTATCGCATCTGTTGATAAATCAAATGAAAAATGTGTATTACAAACCTTGCCTAATGATGAAACAAGATTAGCTTTATTGGCCAATCTATTTGCTAGCGAAGGAAAACCAGGACAAGTGCTGAAAGTGTATGCCAAGAAACGTACTGGCAATGATGATTTCATTGCATCCATGCAAAAAGCACTTGCACAACATTATAAAAATAATCTTGTTGGTATGTTTAACAAGTAAATTCATTTTAGAAATATGTCAGAACATTGGTGCTAAATTCATAAAATTGCAGGATTGGGAGGAACATTTTTAATGAACGATGGAAAAGTTAAACAGCACGTTATGTCTGACTTTTCTACAGTTCCACTCGACACGGAAACAAAACTTAATAACTGGTTACGATTTTACAATATGTCAACACCCCTTGTAGCTGTTGGAACATTTGTCAGTTCTGAAAGTGTAAGTACAACTACATTAAAGTTTTATCGTGTGCGGGTTTATATTGTACAATTGATGCATATGTATTGGTGTTTTAGGATGTCGATCTTCGCGTCCAACATTTCCACAGCTTTTCTCATCACGGCGAAGGAGGTCATTATCATATCGATACGACTCCAGAAACTATTGAATATTTAGGATACTTTAACTTGGGTACCGCGTTATATCGCGTAGACCAACCAACGACTGCTCTGCAATTTGGAAAGGACTGATCTTTTAAAGAATTCCAACAGAGATCTGAGCGTATCTTATTGCCACTATTTTACAAAATACACAAACGATTGAATAAAGACAATATAAGCAACCTACTTGAGGACAAAATTAATTTTGTTCGTCTATATTTAATTATATAAGTATACAAATATCGAGAGGTAATCTATAGATAACAAAACTGAAATGATCCATAAGTTGCTCGGTACATTATAGTTTCACAGTTTTACAGTCAAGCGAATGTAAATCCGGTCGTTGTTATATTTTCCAAATCTTCCTACCGTCCTTAATCCCCCATAAGCTGTTTGACGTGCAAAGCTGTGCGTATGTTAATTCTACGAGACGACAGACGGTAGACACCGGTATGCCAGCAATATCTCGTTCAGTATAATTGTATACCGTAACTGTTAAGTTGATCGAACTGAAGACATGAAGATGAAGTTCAGTATTGCGTCTACCACTTCTTACAATAGTATACATCCAGCATATCAATATACGGAACAATTTGCTAACAACGCCGAAACGTATCAAGAAAGTACCAAATGGTTTGGTGTATTTTTGGCATTTCTCTCAGGTACATTTTTCACAGTTAGTTCCTCGTTAGTCAAAGCTATCCAAAATGTAGACCCCATGGTACTGTTGGGTATCAGAGCTATTTTACAAATGCTAGTCATGGCTGGTGTAGCAATTAAAGCTTCCAAAAGTATTTTTGGTCCCAAGGATCAAAGACTACTCCTACATTTTCAGGTATGTTAATGCTAAAGAGTGAATGAAAGATCAAACTTTTTGCTTATTAACGAGAAGTAGAAATTTGTCAGTTGTTATTTAATTATCTAATGAACCGTCTTTTGCAGGGAATAGTAGGAGGTGCTACCTTATCGCTGCTTTATTATAGTTTCCGAGAATTACCCATAGGAGATGCCACGACTATTATATTTAGCTCTCCGGTTATTGTTATAGCATTATCTTTTATTTTCTTAAAAGAACCATGCGGTGTATTACGTGTAATGGTCATGTGTGCACTTTTTGCGGGCGTGGTTTTTGTATCGAAACCACCATTTGTGTTTCAGGTAGCAAAATAAACTATTAGCATTGCTTTCGTTAAATAACGATTTTATATATCATATGATATTTGTTCTTTTTCAGACACACAGAACTGAACCGTACAATCTGATAGGATATCTGTGTGCTATCCTAGCAACATTCTTCACAGCTCTGAATATAGTTATTATGAGAAAGTGTTCAGAAATTCATTATTCTACGATAATCTTCAACTTATCTTGGTGGTCTCTGCTGACAGCAATATCCTTTTTCTTTATTGTGTCGGAGCATCATGTACAAAAACTTAAGCTACCTACCGATTGGTTTACTTGGGCTAAAATATTATCAGTGGCACTCACTGGATTATCTGGTCAAGTTTTAGTAACTAACGCGTTAAAAATAGAAGGTGCAGGCAAAGTATCAGTGACTAGATCCTTAGATATCATACTGGCCTATATAGTGCAAGTATACTTTTTTGGAGACCAACCTTCGTCTACAAGTATTATCGGAGCATTTTTAATTATAGTCTCTGTCGTATGCATGGGATTTGAAAAAGAGATTTATAGTGTTTGCGATTTTATTCCCTAGTCAAAGATACAATATCTTAAATTATTTATCTGCTCTTAGCATAAACATAGATAATATTATACACATTTTTATGAATGGTGAAAACATTGTTATTATACTATTAATATGATTTTACTAATATAAAGTTTCCAGATTTTACACAGTATAAAGTCGAGTTATATGCAACTACCATTCATTTACATCATCGTTCTTTTACCGCAATTTGTATCTCGCATAAAATTTTATTCAAGATAGAAACAAACGAATCAAGTACTTTATAGACAAATTTAACAAAATTATTATATAACATCGCGTATCTGTAATTTATAATTCGCACTTCGTTTCATGTTTTCAATAACATAGAAGTGACATTCGCAAAATTTTGAAGTTTATAACTCAATGTATATTTACAATTGTACATATCTTGATACCATATGTACCTAGAATTATCCGTAACTTTGTGCGGATGTAATTAATTGTATTTCCATAGTTGCTGACAATTTATTTAAAAAAAATACATCTACAAAGAACAATAAACCACCGTACCATATCCAAGATAATAATATGTACAGTTATTCTTCTTTCGACTACTTTATCCTTGATAGATACAAATATAGTCTAATCCAAGAGAAACTAACTTTAGTGCATACATGTCTATACATATTCTTAGAGCTTAGTTTACAACTGAAGTGATACATGTACGAATTCTTTTCAAAATGTTTAAAATTTTATCATGCAACACAGTATCATATACTACACTACTTATTTATAGTTTACTTATTCTGAAAAAGAAGCCACGGATACTTACATGTGATCAACCTTCTTACAAAAAAATCACTTGGAAAAAAAAAGAAGAAAAAGTTGTGTACATGTTCTCAATTTCTTTTCTCTTATATACGTTTAGACCTTCGGAACAGTTCGTTTAACAGATTTTGCGATTACTGCAACTTGCACTGGTTACTTTATGCACACGTTAATTAAACAGATTTTCGAAACTTCTGAATCACGCATAGAAAATATTATAGCTACCGTTGAACGGGAATGTAACTGTAACTTTGAAATAAAAATCATTTGTACACGATATCGCCACTTGCATGTGAATTTTTTTGACACTTCTTATGTAAATAAATATTTACATACATTTCTTTTTATCCAAAAACTTCTTATTTTACATTGGTCATATATCTTTTCTGTTCCTAAATATTTTATACCATAATTTTCAAACTGTACAAAATCTGACTTACAATCTGTAATAATTCTAAGCATTCTTTAACTGATCTTTAAGTATTTCTTTCCGATAGCATCAATATAATTACAAGTATCGCTACAGGAAGTTGTTATTCCCTAAGTATGTACATAACATACAAAATATGATGCTGTCCTAGAAGTGTAACTGTTAAACGCACCCCATGTTATTCAAACAGATTTATACCGGTACTCCTCCTTTTCTTATTAATAAAATTATCAGCTACTGAGTTTACTCATTGAATATTCTTTAATTCATTATGTATGAAAATACACAAACAAACAAATAACGGGCACTATGTGCCACTCTTAAAGAGACATAGTTAAGAACATGAAATAATAAAATATATGTATGTACATTTTGGGCAAAACGCTACAAATAGTATCAGAATTTTCTTTATATTAAAAATATCTCTTGACTACAAAAATAGGGCATACGCTGCTTTTGATTGATTGCCACACATAATGCTGTTGAAATATTAATCTGTCCCGGAATACATACATACATACACTTCGAAGCTGAGAAAGATTACTATGAGGATACCTAGATTGCTCGAAGTATAAAATGCAGTGAACAAAGTATGTATGCATACAGTTTAAGTAATTTTTAAAACGATACTGACTTGAGTTTTTTACGATTCCATCATCTAATTGTATGGTCTTTCAACATCTCAAAGAACTTAAAGAAAGTGAATTATTTTTTGCAAATATTCGTTTAAATATGAAATTAATTCGGTTTAAAATATCAGTAGTGAAATCACTTGACTGATTTCATATAAAACTTCAATTTTTATAGATAGCAATGTTTTATGTAAAATTTTGAAATATAATGCTCTAGACATTTTATTGTAAAAGCTGTTAAAGGGGTAAAGTAGAATGATAAGTTAAAAAGTAATATAAACTTTGTATAGTAATAAATAACACATTTAAACTGTTGAACTATAATCAAGAGGAAAACTTTAACATAAGTGAACCGTTATTTATTTTCTGAAACGAAAAATTTAAATTACTACCATTTGATGATACTTTTAAAATATTTGTATGAAATTGTAATGTAAGATTTCGGTTAGAAATGTACCTGAACTTTTATAAGATTACCATTATGTATAGATTTCTATTAATGGAAACAAATTATATAATTCAACATGTCTAAAAATAGTGCTATTTAGTATAATGTTAAGGTAGCACCCAACAGTATTAAGATGTTACATTTTATTTGAGTACAGCATCATTATCGTATAACACAATTATAGAAATAATTAAAACATACACAACGAGGAAATTTAAACTTTTGACAAAACTAAAAATCAGATCTAATTGTGTATGTCTTACCAAAATAAAAAGTAAAAAGTACATAACTTTAAACTTCAAAATGTTGAATTTTAACGTTTCCTTTTGCATAAAATTCTACACATAATACTTTTTGTAATTTATTTCGTATAATGCCAAATGTAATGAAATAGCTTTATCGATAACTTTATCAGAACCATTTTAATGTTAATATAAACAAAAGTATATTATAATAATGAGCTTTTATTTATCAAATAATAAATATTAATGAAACAGTAACAATCTATTCTTATTTCTTGAGTCACAAAATGCTTGACAGTATGAAAATTAATTTGTATAAATGTATTAATTTATGCAATGTGTGCAATATACATATGTATTTCATTGTAACATCAGATGTATTTGATTTAGAAGAAACAGGCGTATTTCTCGTGACTTTAAAAAAGCTGATCTTCCACTATTAAGAGGGAAATGAAAAACTGAACGCAATATTTACCAATTATCCTATCCCGAGTTCGAAATATTGCTGCGAGTAAAATCATGAATTTACGGAAAATTATCTGAGGTCAGCCTGTAATATTGCATACAAATGGTCTATCATAGTAATTCATTGGATCGATTATTACATATCTAATCGCTTAGAAGCTAAAAGCAAATGTACAGAGTAAATTTAATTTATAGAAACGAGTAATATTATTATAGAACACACTCGCTTTAATATTTTGAATGCCT